AAGGACCTTTCCCCACTGCTAAAAGGTCCACCCCAGAGCGAGTTCAGGTAATGCTAATGAGACTTTGATGCAAGGGTCTTCTGAGTGCAAAACCACATACAGAACATTAGCCACATTTTTCTTCTTAAGCATTGCAAAGGAACACTTTAACTAGAGTCAGTGCATGTGAGGTGGCCAGACAGTCCTTCGGTCTGTGACTCCCAGTGAGAACAGGCCGGGGAGCGCCCAGGGCAGAGTGAGGTCCCGGTTGGATTCCTGGCAACCCCCTCAAGGTGAGCCTCACATCCCCTGTGGGGCCCCGTGCAGGGGAGCAAGGGGTAAGTATAAAATAAATTCATATCATTTTTTAATTCATTTAAAGGTCATTTTTGTTTTGGAAAAAAAAGAGAGGCTGGTCATAGCCCACAATTTAGCTAAAAATAGTTAAACCTATTTTAGCATTTTATTACACTGCAATTTTTTTATTCCTGATCGGGGCTAGGGTTTTGCCAGTGGAAAAATAAGTCAAAAGAAATTTGGATAATTGATGTAGTATTCAATATTAATAGCAGTTAATTTGGGCAACTCATAAAAATGCTCTTTTTATTTTTTTTTTAACCACGTGCCTAAAGTGATTTTCTGGGCAGATTTTGAAGAGCCAGACCCCTGCCGAGAGTAAGCAGAGATGGGCTTTAGACCTGAAAGGGGAAAACCCAGCTGCCTGTCACTCTGAAGATGGGCTCTGTTAGCCGGCAGACACCCTCTCCTTTCTTTAATCTCGCACTCTATAAAAATGCTCTTGAATTCCTTGCCAGCACGATAAAAAATAAATAAATAAATAAATAAAAATTGAACCGAATGGCTGACATGAACTGAATATCTTATTCTAGAAGGACCATCGCTGACAACTTAAGAAAAGAGGGAACCGGAGCAGGTCTTTCGAAACGGTTCTCGGCAGGCAAACAACTTTCCAACGAAGAATCCGAACTAGAAGCAGCCCGAGCCCCCCCAGCTGTGGGCGGGGGTCTCCTCCCTCCTCCCCTGAGTCTGCACCGTGACCTTCCTCAAGATCCCCAACTTCGGGGCTGGAGCGATGGCACAGCGGGGAGGGCATTTGCCTTGAACGCCGTCAAACTGGGTTCGATTCCTGGCGTCCCAGAGGGTCCCCCAAGCACAGCCAGGAGTGACTCCTGAATGCAGAGCCTGGAGTAAGCCCTGAGCATCGCTAGGTGTAACCCAAAAGGAAAAAAAAAAAGATTCCCAACTTTGGGGATATACCACGTGTCTGCTGGTTAGAAGCTTGCTCGGGGCCCCAGGTTTTCTCTGTGAGGTCCACAGCACAGGGCAGTAAACTGGCCTCGACGCGAAAGGCCAGCAGGGCCTGGGAACCGGGCCGGATGCGATGCATGGGCGTGAGCACGGCCCTGAGCACCGCAGGATGTGGGCCTGGTGCCACGGCCTTCCTGTTGAAGCCTAATATTGAACCGGCCCCTGGTCCCTCACCGGGAGCCCTCCCCTCCCGCAAATGTGAAGATCAGCAAATTCTTTGCACATCGGCGCATGTCTTCCTTGTTCCCCGTCCCTGGAAGTAGCAAGAACCTGCTCCTGCATCCCTGGTGGTCCCCCGCACCCCTCCCGGGCCTGGCTCTGCCCCTCCAACCCCCATCCAGTCCACAGGCCTCTGGCAAACAGTACTTCTACTGTCCAGTGCCCTGATCGCCGTGGCCATAGCAAAGGTGCCGCAGTGACGGCTCACAGCACTGCCCCTGACCCTTCCTGGCATTCTTGGATGGAGTGACCATCCACGGCCCAAGTGGAGGTTCCCCTCCAGAGACCTGGGCAGCATGTGGCCGAGTCTGATAAAAATCTTCCCTCCTGAGGACCCTGATATCTAGGTACCTAATTCAGGATCTCTCACACTAGCACAGATGCTTGGGGGAGGCAGGAAGCGCCCGGGGCTGCAAGATGCCTGCTGTGATTGCCCCAGTCACTTTTATTTTATTTCTGCTTTTTGAGTCGCACCCAGCAGTGCACAGGGGTTCCTCCTGGCTCTTTACTCAGGAATTACTCCTGGAGGTGCTTGGGGGACCCTATGGGCTGCTGGGAATCGAACCCAGGTCGGCCGCATGCATGCAAGACAAATGCCCTCCCCACTGAGCTACAGCTCCAGTCCCGTGAGCATTTTCTCACCCGGTTTGGGTCCCTGGAGCCTCTTCCCCAAGTCTCCACATCTGCGTGGAGGGGCCACGGGGGGGGGGGGGGCAAGGACATTTAATGGGATCTAAGATAACTGTTGGGTTTTCCCAAAGTTTCATTCACTCAAGCATTTTTGATAGTTCCATTAGCCAGGCAGTGGTAAGAAGCAGTAGAAAATAAATGACTCTGAGCCTGCGAAGGGGGCAGGTTTGAGGGTGGGCGGGGAAGAGTGGACAGTGGTGCAGGGCCCAGAGGTGCTGGGCTGGCACTGAAGCCTTGGGTGCCTGGACCAGCTGCAGCAGGAACAACTTTGTAAACCAGTATCAATCAAACGGGGAAGGAATAAAACCACTGCCAATGCAAAGGTCACCAAAAAACACTGCTGGTCATTTTAATGACCTTCTTTCCGACAAGGCTTCCGGTGGGCCCAACGCTCTGGCAGCCTTCTGCATAGACACCACCTCTCACCTTCCCTCTGCCCCTTTCAGAGTACGGTTCGTATCAGATATTGATCTTGAGCAACGTGGTGTGGGGTGGGGGGGCGGTGGGCCACACATCATGCGTGGCAGTGCTCAAGCAACCGTCCGCGGCCGCCCACGTGCAAGGCGAGTGCCACGGGAGGGAGGCCACGGGAGACAATCAGCTGTGCAGCACCCAAAGGCCTCGCCCTCACCGAGAGCCCCGACCTCGGGCCTGCAGCCTCCAGAACGGTGAGAACCCCCATTTCTGCCCAGGCCCCAGCTTACCAACGAGGGGCGCAGAACTGAATGTGGGGGCTGCAAAGAAACGAACGTGGCCGGCTTCTGCAGGCGTCACCGACCATCTGCCAGGTCCTGCCGTGGCATGCCGGAGCCTGTGTGTCTCCACGGCTGCGGAGAGGGTGGCACTGGCCAGGTGGGTCGGACCCAATGTCGGGGTCAGCGGGACAGAGCGCAGCCACCCCACTGCCTTTGAGACACCCGGAGGCTCAGAGCGTCTCTCCTCTAGGGACACCAAGGAAGCGAGTCCGCAGCCAGGACAGCAAGGTGGCCGGACCCTGGGTGACGCCAGACCGCCAGACCTTCTCCAGGGGAAGCGGCACAAGAACCCACAGGGGGCCGGGGGCCTGGCCCGCCCCAAGAGACCAGCAAATCAATCAGCCAAACACGGCTGGACCAAAGGGCTCCCAGCACCAGCAACCCCCTCCCCCCCAGCCCCACAGACTCCCTCTGCTTTTCTCGGATGGAAAAGTCCTTGGCGTGGCATCCGCCTCCAGACCGCCAGCCAGGGTGCGGGGGCAAGCGATGGGCCACTGCGGAGGCTAATTGCCACCCATGTGGCCTCAGCACCCCATAGGGGCCGCCAAGCCCCTCCGGGGCTGAGCCTGGAGCGCAAAGCAGGAGTAAGCTTTGAGCACTGCTGGCTGTGGCCCAGAAACAAACAAACAGAAAAGCTGAAAGACCTGCAGGGTCCAGTGAAGGAAGCAGCCTCAGTTTCCCCTTGCCGGTGGGAGAGGAGGCCTGTTTTCCCTTGCCAGAGGCTTCATCTCTCTCAGGTCCACCTAACACAGACTTCATCCCCAAGGTCCTGCCTTAACTTCCCAGGAACTTTCCAGGATCATAAAATTCTGATCAGCGGCCGAAGACCTCCAGGACCAGCCACCACCATGCTGAGACCACTCTCCGCACACATGAAGGTACTGGCAGAGGGACAAATCCATGCGGGTTCCGGGGCTGAGATCTCCCAGCCTACTCGTATTGGAGTCGAGCATCCTCCACCCAGATCCTCCAAATTCCAGTAGGTGGGGGTCACACCCACCACCTGGCCCCCTGGCGCCGTGTAATCCCATCAACGGCCAAGACTCAGAGACTATAAAATCCAGCTCCGGGAACCGCAAATGCGGCCGCGCTCGGGACATCTTATCAGGACATCTTTCATGACATCTTATCATCTCATTCCTACTTTGGACAAACTTGCAGGCTATCGATTGTAGCCTGCCCACAGGGCAGAGTCTGGCAAACTCCCCGTGGGGTACCAAATATGCCAAATACCAGTAACAATGATGGGTCTCATTCTCCTAAAGAGCCTTGAATATAATCTCAGGGTTAGGATGAAAGAGACGTTACTGGGGCCTGCTTGAGGCAATCGACGAATAAATAAAATTCTGCCCCGGAGCCTAGACCCACGATGCCTGAGGCAAGGCGACCAGTAACCACTTTCCAGCCTTTGCCACGTTTGTCAAGGGCTAGGAAATGGGAAGATCCCAATTTCCACCCGAAGGGGCCGACAGGAAGAGCCCTTCCCGCAACTTCCTTGCATCCTCTGTAACTTTAGTCAGTTGATAAGAAATTCACTAGACCAGGGACCTATAAGAGGGGTCATGCAACTCCCTTTTAACTCAGCCCTGTACTAAGTGCCTCCCGCCTCGGGAGCTCCTTTCCTTCTCCCTGCTGCTTTCCAACAAACGTCTCTACTCTCCAACTCTGAGGCTGAGCACCGAGGGACCTTCTGAGGGCTTCGACGGCCTCCGGAGCTCCGGCCTCCAAACCCAACAGGTCAAACTCGGCGCCTCCAAGCAAGCAGCGCCAGCGCCGGACCTGACGACCTGAGGACACGCCCGCAGACTACAACTCCCATCGGGCGCCGCGGCCGCGGACTACAACTCCCATCAGGCGCCGCGGCCGCGGACTACAACTCCCATCGGGCGCCGCGGCCGCGGACTACAACTCCCATCGGGCGCCGCGGCCGCGGACTACAACTCCCATCGGGCGCCGCGGCCGCGGACTACAACCCCCGCCAGACGCCGCGGCCGCGGGACAGCGGCCCAGCACGCTCCGCGGGGCGGACCAAGGCCGCGGCCCCCGAGCACCGTGCCGGGTGGGGATGGCGCGAGAGGCGGCAGCCCCCGAGGCGGAGCCCGAGCTGCTGGACATCGCGCGCGGCCTGGAGAACCTGCCCGTGAGCGTGTGGCCCCCAGGCGCGGAGCCGGAGCCCTTCGAGGTAGCGCCGGCGCGGGGCCCCTTCCGGGCGGGGCGGGGCCGGGGGCGGGACTTCCGCGGCCGGGCGGGACTTCCGGGTGGGGTTTCCGGGGCGGGGCCGGCGGCTCCAGGTGGGCCCGCGGCAGGTGCGTCCTGCGGGCCTTGGCCCCGCGGCCCGGCCGCTCGCTCGCTCGCTCGCACGAGGAAGCGGTGCTCGGTGCTCCGGGGTCGGTGTCTCCCCCCGATGTCGCGCCCCTGATGTGCTGCTCGCGTCCGCGGGGCCTCCGGGGGGACCTGGCAGGTCGCGCGCCCACCGGCCTCGGGTGTCCCGGGCGCCCCTCCGCGGGCAGCCAGCCCCCCGGAAGCCTGGGCGAGCTCCCCAGGGGGAGGCACAGCCTCAGGGTCCGGTCGCGAGCAGGTGCCTGGCCGCCCCGCCTCAGCCCTGCCTCGAGCGGGCGCTGCGGGGCAGCAGGGAGAGGGGCCAGGCCCAGCCCCCCTTACGTTCGTCCTCCGGGGCCCATGGGAATGCCCAGAGGGGCCCGGGCCACACCCAGCGCGGAGGCCACCGCGTAAAGCAGCAGCTTCGGATCAGTTCTCAGAGCAGGGTATTAAGTATCAGAAACAGTCACTGTGCGCAGCCCAGACTCTGCCAAGTGCCTGGTCCAATCAGGTCCTTATTCAACAGATCACTGTGTGCCCGTAAGACGGCAGGCACCAGTTTAAGCAAAGCAGAAAAGACACAGTGCAAGGATGGGGCGGGGGGGACAGTAGCAGACACCTGGGTCCTTCCATCCGCAGCTGAGGAATGTGACCAGCGATCCGGTGCTCAAACCGAGCCTCGGCCCCGGTGCTCTGGAGCTCTCTGGCTCCTGCAACCTCCCTGGCAGGGTTAAAGTTGCAGAAAAATGAGAAGGACACTCCCTCTGGCACTTAGAGTCCTACCAAGAAGATAAACATTTCAGTGGGACATTTCAGTGACAAGTTTCAGAGGCCTTCAGCTAGCTTGCTTCCAGACATTCAGGGAACACAAAACCAGTTTTACAAGAGGTCAGACTCTTTGTGCCGTGCCAGTCCCGGCCTTCACAGGCATCTGCACACACAAGGATGAAGGCACGAAAAACTCAAGGTAGAAGTAACCGCCTCTGTGCCTTTGGGTGTCCTGTGAAAAGCAGAAAGAACATCCAGCCAGTGAGCTTGGAAAGAGGCCTATCAGTGTCACCGGCATGAGCACCGAGCAGACACAGAGTTGATTTTCGTTAGCGCCTTGTTAGATGAAAGCATTTTTTTCTGATCTCAAAACCCAGCCTCTAAACACCCATGAAGATTCTCTTTTGACCTTGAGAATGAGCTGGCTCAGTCTCCTACTAGCTGCTTGGAGCGAAGACAAAGTCCTGGGGGCTGGAGGCCAAGTACCAGGATTCTTGGAGCTGGTGTTTCAAAACAACCAAAAAAGGAATGAAGATTCCCACAGCGCTCCCTTCCAGCCCCGAGTCGCGCGCTGGCAGTGTGACTCGGGAAAGTCCGACCCTGCACTAGTTGCGGGGCCACCGCACCCGAGTGAGCACACAGGGACCTGGGGCTCACCCCCTCCACGTCTCCAGTGAGGGTTCTCAGCGCAACCATGGTGAGGAAGAGATATGTCGAGTTTTCTGTCAGAAAACCTCGCATCTTCGCCTGGAATCCGGCACCTTTACAGGGCCCAGGCTCCTGTGAAAAGGTGCCCCTGTCCCTGACCTGCCCTTCAGGTCCTGCTGTGTCCAAGTGGCCACGTCCCTGAGCCACTGCTCAGGTGAGGCTCAGCTGAGCTGGTGGTGATGGGCCGCCGGGGCTTCGCATCCTCGTTACCTCTGAGGCCAGCGAGCCCGCGAGTTCCACCCTGGGGACTTTGTTTGCCAGCCTGTGGCCTGCACTCCTGGCGGCCCCTCCACGGGGATATTTGTACGTGGGTTATCCGGTCTTCTCCTTGGCGGGCATCTCTGGGACCGAGAGATGCCTGGGGAGTTGCGCACTGTGCCCTGAGCCTGTGCCATTGGTCGTCTCCGGAGCAGTGGCGGCAGAGGGAGGCGGGTGTGTGGGGGCCAGGGCCAGGTCCTGTTGGTTCCGGCAGAGTGGACGGTCCCTGCTGGGGGCTCTGCTCACTCCCGTCCCCTCCTCACTCTTCAGCCGCTTTCCCGCCCTTTCCCGCAGCCTTCTCAGCTCCCCTTAGGTTTGTCAGTCAGGACTCATTTCGCTCACAAGAAACACAACCCAAAAGGACACAGCCAATAGGGAAACTTGCCGGATGCCAGAGGGTCCAGCAGTGAGGGGAGGGGTGGGTCCCCGGCTGGGCACCCACTCCCTGCTCCGACACCGAAAAACACTCCCTAGGGGCGTGTGTGTGTGTGTGTGTGTGTGTGTGTGTGTGTGTGTGTGTGCCCACTCCCTGCCCCGCCACCAAAAAACACTCCCGTGTGTGTGTGTGTGTGTGTGTGTGTGTGTGCCCACTCCCTGCCCCACCACCGAAAAACACTCCCGTGTGTGTGCGTGTGTGTGTGTGTGTGTGTGCGTGCGCGCGCGCGCGCGGGCGCACTCCCGAGGTGAGGGGGGCTGGGGTAGGGTCCCGGCTGGAACGAGGGCCCACCCGCATTTGTTCCCCTGCGGGCCCAGGATTCTGGTCCAGCGGGTGGGCCGTGGGCCGGCGCCCACCGGTGCCGATCCCCTGATCGAGCGGGCCGAGCGGCTCTGTCCCGCGCGAGCCCCTTCTTGGCCGCCGATACCCGAGTTGGGGGAGGGGCCGCGCAGGAGGGACGGAGGGAGGCCGGGCCGGGCCGGGCCGGGGGTCAGCCGCCGTCCCGCGAGCGCTGACCGGCCCCCCTCTCTCCCCGCAGTACTGGCCGGACCCCGTGGCGGGCCCCGGCGCCCCGGCGGACCCCGCGGAGATCGCGCTGCCCGGCTGCCGCTGCCCGCCGCCCGCCTGCCGCGCCGCGTGCGCCTGCCTGCGCGGGGGCCCCGCGCCCTACGACGCGGCGGGGCGCTGCCTGCAGGCGCTGGGCGCGGCGCCCGCGCGGCCCGTGTTCGAGTGCGGCGCGCTGTGCGCGTGCGGGCCGGCGTGCGGGAGCCGCGTGGTGCAGCGCGGGCTGCGGGCGCGCCTGCAGCTCTTCCCCGCGCGCGCCAAGGGCTGGGGGCTGCGCGCGCTGGAGCCGCTGGCGCGCGGCCGCTTCGTGTGCGAGTACGCGGGCGAGGTGCTGGGCGCGGCCGAGGCGGCCCGGCGGCTGCGCGCGCGGCCCCCCGGCGCCCCCAACTACCTGCAGGCCGTGCGCGAGCAGGTGCCCGGCGGCCGCCCGCTGCGCACCTTCGTGGACCCCGCGCGCGTGGGCAACGTGGGCCGCTTCCTCAACCACTCGTGCCAGCCCAACCTGCTCATGCTGCCCGTGCGCGTCCACTCGGCCGTGCCCCGCCTGGCGCTCTTCGCCGCCCGGGACGTGGCCGCCGGCGAGGAGCTCACCTACGACTACTCGGGCCGCTTCCTGAACCCCGGGGGCGACCAGGGCCAGGAGGAGCCCCCCGAGGGGCAGCCCCGGACGCCGTGCCGCTGCGGGGCCGCCGCCTGCGCCGGCCTCCTGCCCTTCGACGGCTCCCCGTGGGCGCCCGAGGAAGAGGCGCCCACCCAGGACCCGCCCGCGGCCCTGTCCCCCGCCGTGGCCGCCCCGGAGAGCGCGCGGGCAGGATGCTGACGGCCGGCCGGGCCTGCCCAGCTCCACGGCTGCCCGGCCCCGGCGGCCCCGGACCTCGCCGCCCGGCCCCGGTGGGATCCAGGCAGAGCCGCGCGTGCGACCCGGAACACCGAAGAACCGGGGCCTGCCAGCACTTTCTCCTGCCGCCTGGCCCGAGCCCGGGGTGGGCCTGGGAGAGGACCCGGGACGCTCGTGCCTCCTCCCGGTGCCCACCTGGGGCCACTGCGCATCTCCATGACAACAGCGTCTCATCCACCGAACGGCGGCCCTGGGCCAGCTGGGGGGCGCCTGGAGCCCCTCACTGTGTCGTAATAAAGACGGCCGCCCAGCCGCATCCTTCTCGCTGGCGTCTTGCTGTGAATCCTGGGACGGTGGCAGGGCCGTGGCCCCATGTGGCCTGCGAGGGACACCCCCCCCGCCCCCCAGTTCTAGCCCTGACCGCAGAAGCCCAGCTGCCCTCACTGCGTGATCTGTGGTCATAGGGCTGTTGGGGACTCCCTTTTCCGGGATAAGGATAGGCAGTGACCGGCTGGCGGGCAGGGGGAGGGCAGGAACCACGCCCCCGCCCCCTTCCAGTTAGCGTGCTGTCTGGGAGCTGGAATTGGGACATAGCTGAGCTCTGGAAGGGTGGGATTCCTGGGCCCAGGGTGGCACATGTGAAGTCACAGCTTCCCAGTCCGTTCAGGCCCAGCTCAGGAGGCCACTCAGGCCCAGCCTGGAGGCTCTCCGCTTGTTTCCTGGGGCCAGGCCTGGCAGTGCTGGGGCCCTGTGTGGTCCTGGAATTCCAGTCGGGGTCAGGCCACAGCCGAGCACTAAGGTGGCACCTCTGGACTGCCCGCTCTGCGCTGTTTTGGTTTTAGGTTTTTTTGATTGTAAAAAAAAGTTTTTTTTACACTTGTTTGTGCTTTTGGTAGACAAAATTATGCCTCTCAACAACCACCAAAGGACCAGAAGCCACCCACTGTGCCCTGTGTCACTTCCAGCCGGCTGGGCGTCCCTGCTCCCACAGCTTCTCTCTATGATAGGGGGTGTCTGTCTCTCAACCTCCTCCCTCGGACTTGTTCTAATTCTACCCAAAGTTGTGGCAAAGGAGCGTTTCCTCTCAGAGCCGACGGTGGCCTTCATGTCCTCTCCGCCATTTTGCAGGAGAGGGACAGCGGGGAAGGCACTTGGCCACCATGAGGCTGACCAGGGTGGGTCCCCGACACCTCAGTTAGTCCCTCGAAATCCACCAAGAGTGGTCCCTGTGTGCAGAGCCAGGAGTAAGCCCTGAGCATCACCGGGTGTGGCCCCCAAAACCAAGAAATGATAATAGATATTTACCGCTCTAGTGGTTGTATAGGATATACCTGGGTGGTTTTAACATTCAGTACTGGGATGTCTGGCATTTTGTAGAGTAACAGAAGGTGGTGGGGAACGAAAGAGCCTCGCATGGCCCCAACCTCCCCCCAACCCCGTCCATGAACTCAGGAAGCTACAGAGACCCGCATAGGCGGGGGGCTGCAGGAGGTCTGGGTGCCCTCCCCACCCCCACCGTGGCACCAAAGGCAGAAAGAAGAGGGAAGGAAGGGAAGTGGAGGGAGGGGCGGCGGGGGGGGAGGAAGGCCAGGAGACAAGACCTGCATGTAAGCCCCCTCTTCCCGGGTCCCAGCCTTGCCAGCCTCCAGCAGACCCGCCTGCCGCAGGCCCGAGCCGGTCTGGCCACTAGAGGGGGGCAGCACACAGCAAACACGCGACTCCCTCCACCAAGCACAGGCCCAGGGCCGCTTCCCGTCTGCCCCAAGCAGCCTCGAGCTACAGGGCTGGACAGCAAACACACAGTCGCACACAGGACTCTGGCCCCATGCCCTGGAGAGGCCTTTTCCCTCAGGTGAACTGGGGTCCACGAATGTTCTGAAACCCAGACGGGCGTGGGCTGGGGCCGCCCCACAGGCCAGGGGCCGAGTCCCACGGCTTAGTCCCATGGCTCAGTGCTGGGGCTGAGTCCCACTAAGCTAGACAACCTGACACCCGGAGCCCATGACCCGGCCACCAAGCATCCCACCTCGTGCCACTTTCTCCTTGCGTCTCCCCGCGGGACAGTGCCACAGCAACTCAGAGTGACCGACACGGCCGCAGGGGAGGGGAAGGGTGGGGAAGGCACAGAGGGGCAAGGGTCAGGGCCCCAGGGTCCAATCACCGGCACCTGCTGGGCCGTCCACGGCGGCACTCCAGACCAGTGTCCATGCGAGTCGCAGTGACACAGAGGGGGAGGCGCCTGCCCCGCACATGGCCGACCCACACCCCTCCGGGCACCATATAATCCCCCGAGCCCCATCAGGCAGGACCCCTGAGTACTGAGCACCGTGACGTGGGGTCCAGGAACCAAGCACTCCACCTTGCCGCGATCTCCGTCCCTTCCAGCCTGTCGTCTGCCTGGTTCCCCTGCCACTCAAGCCCCTGCGTACCTGCCTCTCCCCGCGGCCCTGTGAGACCCACTGACCTTGGCTCGGTGGGCCTGAAGCATCAGGCGTGGCAGCTTGTGTGCGAGTGACATCCTGGAGGACGAGCTGGGAGGACGCCTGGACCAGGGGCGGGGAGCACTGATCCATGGGGACACTCTGACCTGCGCCGGCCTGGGAAACCGAGGCAACAGGGCAGCAGAGGTCCCCAGACATACTGGGCTGACACCGCCTTTTCTGGAGAAACTTTTCTCAGAGGCCACCTGGAAACCTGGTATTAAGGGACCAAACAGAATGCCACCTATGGCCTGAGGCCACACCCACCCACATGCACATCCATGCATATACATATGCACAGGAACACACATGCACATGCACGCATAAACATGTACAGAAATACGCACACATGCATATACACATACATCCTCGCACATATGCACAGGAGCACGCGCTCACACACTGTTCCAGGCCTTCCCGGGCAGTGCAGGCGCCTCAGGAAACGTGGGCCTGGACTTTGCGCCTGAAGCTCTGGGATCAGCCCGGAGACCTAAGGCAGGTGACGTGAGGAGGAGAATCCAGCCAGCACTCAGGATTTCCTAAACAAATGTCCTCTGAAGCCACATGCAGATGAGCGCAGGGGTCTCCGCAGACCTTGACCCGCAGCTGCCCTCCCTGCCTTCACAACCCTGTCCCTGGGGACACCCCCAGCCCCGTGCACCCACCGTCCCCCCAGCGGCAGGGCTGGTCTCTGTGACAAGCCCAAAGGTCTTGGAGATGGGCTCAGGGTCCACTCTGGCCAGCGCCTGCCCGAATAGCCAAGTGCCTTGAGACGCAGCCTGCAGGGCACGGGGACGCCTGTCGGGTCCTTGGACGGAACCAGATGCGCCTGGTGAGTGGTGAGCAGAGACCAGCGGGCTGTAGAGAAGCACCCTCCCCACCCCCCGCAGCACCCCGAGTTCGCATCGGCGCAGGCCAGGCGTATCGCTGTCCCGTGGGGCGCAGGTGCCGGTTCCCTGCCCCAACTCATGTTCCCTGCACCAACTCATGCTGGGGAAGCAGCGAGGGTGGATGCAGGCACCGGCTCACTGCAGTTTGCTCCCGGCCGTGCCTCGGGCTCCAGGCTCGGCCAGCAGATGCGTCTTCCGGCTCTGGGCTGTCCTGGACACACCAGCCGCGATGTGGCTCGTCCACAGCCACGGCCCTCGGCTGACGGGCAGAGGGGCGCGTTCCCAGCTGCCCAGGGGCACAGTGCGGTCAGGCGGGGCCCCCAGGGACACGGCTGAGCAGAGCCTCTGCACAGCAGAGGCCAGTTGAAGAGACGGGCGAGCAGGGCAGCGGTAGGTGGCACAGGGCAAGTCCGAGGCAGCCGTGTCAAGCCCTGAGCTCACCGCCATCCTCGCACCCCGTCCGTCCCGGCGGAATGTCCCGACTGGAAAGGCGAAGGGATTTCCCTGCCCACCCCCGCCTGAAAACCAGCTGGGCCTGTCCAGGACTGCAGCAACAGGCCCTAGGGCGGCCCCTGAACACACTTACACATCCACACACGTATGTATACACAGAGACACATTCACACACATATGCACCCCAGACCCAAGAAGGACCCCTGAACACACACACACACACACACACACACACACACGCGTATATCACAAATACGCTCCCATATACACAGCCCAGGCCCAAGAAGGGCCCCTGACCACATACACACTTTCACACCCATATTCATACACATATACACACCCCAGGCCTGAGAGGATCCCTGAACCTATATATGCACACGCATGTACGCATGCGCGTGCACGCAAACACACACACACACACACACACACGTTCCGCCCTGGCACAGGCGTAGGGATCAGGCCACCAGCTGAGCTAGGGTGTGTGACAGACATATTTTAATATAAAGACTCACCCCACAGGGTCCACCGGCAGGGCAGGGAGAAAACAGGGCAGCCTGCTGGCAAGTGCAAACTGGAATGTCCTAGAACTTTCCGTGGTGGGTCTTCTCACGTGGACCTACAGGATCTCTGGACAGCAGCTGGTCCCCGGAAGCCACGAGGAGGTTCATCCCGTGGCTCTCAGCTCTCCCACACCTCCCTGTGGGGCTACGGCGCTGGGAAGGCCGAGGCCGGCCTGGGGAGCTGCAGCCCCACCCAGGAGCAGCCCAGGACAGCGCCGTCAGCACCAGCCTCGTGCACCCACCACGGCCCTGAGGTCCTAAGCAGGGATCCCCGGCTCCATTCCCCCAGGACCCCGGTGCTGTGTCCCAAGGGCTAACACGGGGCCGTGCAGGGCGTGAAGGGGGAGGCGGGTGGGCACTGACCACCTGCCCGGGGCGGGATTTGAACCCATGCCTGAGAACTGTGGTTCCCGGCGGCTGGGTGGTGCTGAGGGGGTCCAGGCAACTCCCGGCCACGCTTGGCAGCTGGGCCCCAGGAGTGGGTGCTGCTTGGGGGCCTGGAGGGCCACAGCACTGCGAGGGCCCCTGTGATGCCGCGGCCGGAGCCCCTGCAGGTCTGTCCTGTCCGACACGGCCCCAAACGCGGCGCTGAAGCCCACGACTGCCACGATTTCTTTTGGTTTCGTTTTTTTGGTTTTGGGGCCACTCCTAACTCTGCGCTCAGGGATCGCTCCTGGGGGTGTTCAGGGGACCATCGGGGGTGCCGGGGATCAAACCCGGGCCCGCTGTGTGAGAGGCCAGCACCCTGCCTGCCCTGGCCCAGGTCTTCATCTGAAATGCAGCGCTGCCGCCAATGCCCAAACACACCCCAAAACATCAATCACTGCTGCAGCATATTCACGAGCGAGGAAAACTCAAAACATACACCCTAAAAATACAGGTGAGGGTGCCCACCAGTGGGGGCAGAGGCCATGGCTGGAGGGTGCCCGTGGGTGGGGGGCGGGCAGGGCTGGAGGGTGCCCGGGCTGAGGGGTGTCCGTGGGTGGGAGGTAGGGGCAGGGCCGGGGGTACCTGTGGGTGGGGGGTGCCCACAGCGCAGCACACTCTCCGGATTCCCCAGTTCCCCAAACACTGGCTGGGTTTGCTTGGCCAGGGTCAGGTCCATCGGTGCAAGTGAGGAAGGGCCGTTTCACACCCAGAGCGACAGCCATCGACGTGGGCACACCGAGGAAATGTGCGGCCTCCAGTTCTCACTCCAGGGGCTGTGCCCCGATGGGGGGTCAGTGTGGGGACTCACCTTCCCAACCACCTGAGGGGCCAGGCGACAGGGGTTGCGAGTCACGCGTCACCCTGAAGCCAGGCCTGGCTCGGGGTCTCCATGCGCCTCTGCCCGGTGCAGAGAGGAGGAGGGTCCCAGCAGAGCTGCTGGGCTTGGGGACACTTGAGCTTGGGGCGCCGTGTCCTCAGACAAATGCCGCGGAGGAGAGAGGAGCCGAGACACGGTGAGATGCGTTTATTGGCGTGCGGGTGGCCCCCAGCCCCGGCAGCCCCGCGACTCCTGCCCAGGCCCCTTCCCCCCTCCACCAAGAATTAAAGCCGTTTCATCACGATTCCTTCCAGGAAGGCTTTGGGAACGGGGGCTGAGTCCGGCCCCCTGGTCCAAGGCACTTAATGCTGAAGCTAAAGCTGAGCCGCCCCTGCGGTCACCCGGCCGGCGTGGCTGCCGCAGGACACAGGCTCGCCGTGACAACAAAGACACTGGTTTCCTTGGAAAAACAAAGTGCAGTATGGACAGAATGTCCCCCCCGGCCCTCCCTGAAAATGAGACCCAGACATTCCATGATTTCTAGCACACATGGGGAAGACAGCTCAAAAATAATCTCTCATAAATTCTCACTAGAAAATCACAATAGAATCTGTTCTGTTCCACCCCTCGATGGGGGCCAGAGGGGCCGCGGGCGGGCGGGCGGAGGGGCTGAGGGCCCTCCCGGGCCACCGGCGAGGTCATGGGCAGTCAGGAGCCTGACGCCGCTCCCTCCGTAGAAGAAAGACGCGAGATCTTGGCCACGGTCTCCGGAGACGCCGCTCGTGGACGCTTGTGCTGACCGGGGCGGCTCGGGCTCAGCCCGCGGTGGGCAGACGGTCAGCCGCACAGCGGAAGCCCAGGTTGGAGGCCGAGCTGTCAGGCGTGTTCTGACTCCGCGCCGCACAGCGGTACCTGTAGCAGTAGGCCTGGGGAGGGAGAAGGAGGGTGAGGGCCTACAGGCGGGGACGGCAGGAGGCAGTTGCCCAGCTGTGCCCACACCCCACAGAAGGGAGGCCAGCAGAGGGCACAGCGCCCCAGGGCCTGTATCCTCTGGACCCCACGACACATGCAAAGATCCTGGGGTCAGCGCTGCTCATCACGGCAGAGAACCAGCGCTGCCCTAGGACAGGTGGGGTCAGCCTAGGGCAGGGCAGGGGGCGGAGGCAGAGCAGGGCAGGGGAGGGAGGACAGCTTAGGGTGGGGGGGCAGGGTAGGGGGAAAGCTGGGGCAGTGTGGGGGGGACAGGGTAGGGCAAGGTGGGGGCAGTTAAGGTCAGACACAAGCTTTGCAAGTCCCAAGCCTGACCCCCCACGACCACCCCAAGAACGCAGCAGCTCCGGGTGGTCAGGACCCGACTTTGAGCTCTCCCACCCACTGACCAGATACTGCTGGGCCCGGGCTGGGCACCAGGGCCCTCGTGAACCCTACGGCTGTTTACATGAACTGAAGAGTGACTGGCGTGTTTCAAACCATCCCTCACTACAGAGAGTGTCAGGAGCAGCGCCAAGAGGGGGCCAGCGCGATAGCACAGCGGGGAGGACGCTGGCCTTGCCCGTGGCTGACCCACGTTCGAGCCCCGGAATCCCAAATGGTCCCCCGAGCACCGCCAGGAGTCATCTCTGAGAAGAGGAACAGCACCAAGACACCATGCAGTGTGCGCGGCCGGTCGGCCCCGCCCCGCCCTGCCCTCAGTCCCGCAGACACAGGAGAGCCGGGACTCCGGCTCTCACCTGCCCAGGGGCAGAAGCCAAATGCCAGGCACCCGCACATGCATGCAGACCCCTACCTGGCACACACGTGCAGACAGAGCACACGTGTGCAGACTCGGCGCCTCCCACACATGTGCAGACCAGCACCCGGCACATGTGTGGCACACGCATGCAGACCTGGCACCCGGCACACGCGTGCGGGCCCGGCTCCCGGTCGCTTCAGGATGCTCTGGGATAGTGCAGTGGTCAGAGGAGAAGGACTATGGGGGGCGGGGGGGCAGACCCCCTGCAGGGACACTCCTGGGTGGACAGCCATGACCTGCAGCCCCTGGTCCGGTCCCCACACACCTGCCTCAGAGCACACGCACATAAGCATATCCCCACACATGGACACGTGTGCACATACCCACCCACACACCAGTCCTATTCACACGGTGTCTGTATACACACCCAACACATGCATTTTGTGTGAACATGTGCACACATGTTCCCACAAAATGCACAGGTTCACAAGGCATGCGTGCACCTCTGCACATAATCATGTTTTCACACATTCACACATGCGTGTGCGCACATCTGAGCTCTCACACTCACACAAGACCATGCCATCAGTCGAACACAATCCCTCCCCTGCCCAGTCTCAGCGAAGACCTGCAGACCATCAGGTTCCCAAGCTGGACAGCGAGGTCAGCAGAGCCGCCGGCACCAGGCACTTCCCGGGTAGCCCACGGCACGGCCTTGGGGCAGGAGAAGCTCATCTGGGGGCAGGTCACCCTGAGGAACCCCGGCCTCCCCGGCTGTGGCTGTCCCAGCCCCGCCCCCCAGGGTACCGTCCAGGTACAGCGCAGGCCCGGAAGATGCCCACCCCGCCAGGGGTTCTGCTGGGCACGGACACCTGGGCGGGGCGCACAGGTGTGCGGTGACCATGAGGGTGCCAGGCCACCCCTCCAGGGCCTCCCACTGGGGCCAGGAGTGAGTCAGGTGCAGGGGGTGGGCACAGCAACGCCAACACGTGACAAACCCACCCAGCCCGGAGACAAAGCGGGGAGCACAGAAAAGGCTTCCAGGGAGCGCAGCCCCAGCCCCAGGTCCCTTCCCACCGTGGGGGGCGGGGGGGCTGGCTTTGCAGCAGGGGTAGCTGTGCAGAAGTTCCTGGAAGGGAGCCCCGGGTGAATGGGCCTTCCAGGGCCTGCACTGGACAGCATGGTCAGGCCCCCACAGCCGCACACCAAGTGAGAAACTCAGGTGGGGCCCGTCAATCTGCTCCAAGCGAAATCCTGGGGGTGCACATGGAAGGAAGGGGGGCCCCTGGGAGACAGGCAGGGGGCGGGTGACAGGGCAGTCCCGGCTCACCAAGCACCCGCAGGCCCACCACTCCGCAGCAAGAGTCGGGAAACTGTTTCCAGAAGCAGTGGGCACCGTGCAGCGGGGAGGGAGGATGCGCGAGCCGGTGGCACCCTGCAAGGGTGGCCCGGGAAGACCCCTCGGAGGAGGTGATCAGTGAGCCCCAAGCCTGGGAGGCAGAACCCAGGCCCAGCACACATGGAACAAAGTGGGCACGTGAGATGTGGCCGGGAGTGCGGGCTTGGGTCGAGGGCTGAGAACCACGACCTCTCGCCCTCACGGCCAGCCCGAGCCGTAACCCCCATGGTGACTCAGGGTCCTGACAGATGAGACCATGTCTCTGCCACAGTCCTTTCAGGGTACAGCGGCAAACTCAACCACAACCAACAGCACCCACCCGCATGAGCCAGACCCAGGCCATGGGGCGGGAAAACTCGCCAAGACTTCCAGACTGGACCCTTCTCTCCTGTACCCACACGGAAGGGCAGGATGCAGCGCTAAACTGAGACAGAACTAAGAAGCTGTAAAACAGGGCGGGACGAGCACCCGGGATTCACCGCCCGCCACCCACGCCTGCTCTGTCTCCCTCTGACGCCCCTGCTGTCTTGGAGAAACAAGGCCCTCACAGCCCAGTCCAGGCAGAGCGTCAGTGAGGGGATACCCACTGGCATGCTGAGTGGGGACCAGCGGCGGGGCTGGGCATGGGGAAGCCTTGTGACGCGGGCCCACGCAGGGTGGTTCCCGAGGCTGGGCACCCATGGAGCTGCCGCTAACGGGACCGTGACAACATGCATCCTCTTGTTGAATGTCTGCACACAGGCCATGCATGAGCAGGCGGTGGCCAGGCGGGCTCGCCGGCAGGCTGCAGTGTGACCTTCATCAAGAACGCAACCTCGGCCCATCTGACCTGGCCTCGGGGGTCACTAGAACATCCTCGTGTCTCAGGCTGGACGCAGTCTTTGCTGGACCTTCACCCGTGGCGCTGGGGTGTGAACACGCGTCACCTGCAGATGGTGGAGTGTGCCAGCAGCACACATGGGGCCTGCCAAGCGGGCAGAGGAGCCCCAGATGCCCGAAGGGCCGGACAGCCACTCCCTCGCATGCCCCAGGACGCAGGGGAGGTGTCCGCTCCTGCCCCCGTGTTTACCACGGCCCGTCATTAACATTCCTCACTATTATCCTCCACCGCAGCGGAAAAGTCCTGTTCACGGGACAGAGGAGCTTAACACCCAAGACCACAGAACAGGCTGTTTCACTGAATCACGCACGAAGCGACCCGGCATCTGCCTCAGGGGCTGGGACGAACCAACCCTGAAAGCAGGTCTCGGTCCACGTCCGCGATGGGCCCAAAGCCACGTCCAGAGGGAACGTGGCTCTCTCTGTGGGCACCACCACCCCCGCCCCCCGCCCCCAATCCTGGCGTGCACTCTCTCAGCAATGAGCAGTAGCTCGAGTGCAACTGAACTGGCCGGGCGGGCGCCGTGGAACAGGCCACGGGAGCGGGCGGCCTGGTTAGGAGTGTCCTCTCGCTCCTTCCTCTATCTTTAGCACCAAGTATGGTTATTAATGATGTCTCTCTGAGAGCGGCTGAAATATAGGTCACTTTATTAATTAAGAACGGGGGCAGGAGGCCCCATTTTAGCCGAGTCCATCACAACAGCTAATTAGTGTGTGAAATTGCTCTCCCCCAGGTGCTCGCTGAGCGCACGGCCCCACACTCCGATAAGCCACTGAAGACCGAGATGCTCCAACCCCGGGTCGGGGCCCAGCAGGTCGCAGTCTGGGGCCCGGGAGAGGAGCCAGGAAAGGCCTGGGCTGGGTTCTGCTTTACCTCGTCCCTGGCGCAACCCCGAGCATCACGCCCGTGAAAGCTGCAGCAGGGGCAGGCGGAGGCTGACAGTGGCCGCGGCCACCCCGGGGCCCCGGGGCCACCCCGCTGACCCGCCCGGGCCGGGGGACGCTGCTCTTCTCTGCAGAGGCTCACAGCTCCCACTCAGCTCACCTCCCTGCTAGTGCCTGTTCTGGAACATTCTCTCCAACGCCGAGCCAGACCCAGTGAAAGCTCATCCTTGGGGCAGCCACGAGGAATTTAAGATGTTCAATGTAAACCATTAAAATGTGATCCATCACCGCCAATGAGCTAGATAAGAAGACGGGATGCTGGGGCTGGAGCGATAGCACAGTGGGTAGGGCGTTTGCCTTGCACATGGCCGACCCAGGTTCGATTCCCAGCATCCCATATGGCCCCCTGAGCACTGCCAGGAGTAACTCCTGAGTGCATGAGCCAGGAGTAACCCCTGTGCATTGCCGGGTGACCCAAAAAGCAAAAAAAAAAAAAAAGAAGACGGGATGCAGTGTGTTCAGACCAGGCCAGGGATGTACTCTTGGGAAGAGCCGGTCGCAGCTGTGCGAGGCCCTGGGCTGACCACAGGGGACCACAGGGGACACGGCCAGATCCAGCCTCTGGGCCCAGCACTGCTGAGTGGCCCAGAAACACTATCTGAAGATACGTCAAATATACATATGCTGCATATGTAGATATCATACATGTATCACTGTATCACAGTCATCCTGTTGTTCATCAATTTACTCGAGCGGGCGCCAGTAACATCTCTATTCCTCCCACCCCTGAGATTTTAGCAGCCTCTTCTTACTCATCTTTTCCCAAGAATTGGAGGCTCTTTCAGGGTCAGGGGAATGAGACTTGTTATTAGTTACTGGTTTTGGCATATCAAATACGCCACAGGGAGCTTGCCAGGCTCTGCGCGGACGGGTGGGATACTCTCGGTAGGTTGCCGGGCTCTCTGAGAGGCATGTTATTTATATATTTCTCTCTATAATTTGTTGCCTACTGTCTGAACCCCATCAAATATGTTGTGATAATTATGGAAAATGGGTAGGAGGTGTCTTATAATGTGTCGCGCAGAGTTGGGACTCTGCGCCAGGCTGTTTTCACTCGGGGCGCCCCGGAGGGGGTAGGTGACAGCCCTCCCCGCCCCAAGGGACCCAGCAGCTGACCTCCACTACCAAACCACTACCACACTCCAGGTCGCTTTCCGGACGCTCGGGCTGAGCCTCACCTCACGCAAGAGTGAAGTCCCACAGAACCAGGTAACGCGGAACTTTGTGACTTTGGACTCTGGACTCAATGGAACCCCGGAACAGAGAAGCTCTGCCTGCTTCCCCCAGTCTCCGGCGACGCAGGGGTGACACCCATAAGCCACAGGCTGCTGGCACCAGATAATCTCATCGTTATGCATAAGGGGAAAAGGAAAAATGATAGAAAAAAAACAAACTCAGCCCCAAACCCAGGGTCAGAGTGACAGTACAGCGTGCAGGGCACTTGCCTTGCATGCAGCTCCCAAGACCCATATGGTCCCCCAAAGCCCACCAGGAATGGTCCCTGGCGCAGAGGCAGGAGTAAGTCCTGAGCATTGCCGGTCGTGGACTCAAAACTGAACAAAATTAAAAACTCGCTCAGGCCGCAAGTGGTAAAGCACTCGTGAACTTATTTCAGTTATTTCAGTGAATTAACTGAAATTATTTCAGTTATTTCACTTATTTCAGTGCCAGTTCCTGGCACCCATGACGTCCCCACACGCACCAACTGGTCTGGCTCTGCAGGTCCCCAGGCACAGCTGGTCCAAACAGTCAGGCCGTGCTGGGCCCAGGCCCACAGGAGTTTCCCTTCTATAACAGAGATAGAAAACAAAACAAACAAACAAACAAACAAAAAACCAGTCTGGGACGGACGGGGCAAAAGAGAAGACCAGAGAAGGCCGGGCTGGGGGCGCCGCCTGCCCGCCGACCCTGGCTCGGTTCCCAAATGCCCGGAGCCAGGAGTGGCCACGAGCATCACACCACAAGGGAAAGAGAAAGCAGAGATCAGGATGGCAAATCCAGCCTTGTCAATAAGCAAATCAAATGTAAATGGTCCAAGCACCCAACAAAGGCAGATACTGTGTAATCAACTCAAGGATGCCGAGGAGAGGGACAAATTTGCATCCTCCAAAGATGCAAATTCCTATAGCTTAATGATGAAGAAGAAGAAAGAAGATCATCTTCATAGTCCTGGAGTCAGGAACTAAAATCGATACGGAGAGTTCCAGGCCCAGATGGCGTCTCCAGGGAAACCGTCAAACACTGGGGGGAGAATAACACGAATCCTACAGAAACGCTCAGAAAATTCCAGCCGAAGCACATGTGCAGCTCGGCGAAGGAGGCAGTAACACCCGAGGCCGGTCCAGACAGGAACACGCCAGCACCCACCCATCACGGACACAGATGGAAAAACGTCCGACCAGTTTAGCAAACCTGATCCTCAATGCAGAAGGACAGCACAGCAGGGAGTTATCCCGGGAAGTTAAGAACGCATTAACATTTGGAAACCGATCAGTGTATTAGCGGACTGACAAAAATAAAGACCCTGCAACTATCTCGATAGATGTCGGAGAAGCATCTGGCCCAAGATGAGACGCCGATTTGCAACAGCAAACCCCAGAGGAGGTAAAGGTAAAGGTAAAGGTAAAGGCCCTCCCGTTGATCGTCGATTTGCTCGAGCGGGCCCAGTAACGTCTCCATTGGAGACTTTGTTGTTACTGTGTCTGGCATATCCAATACTCTCGGTAGCTTGCCGGGAACTGAGGCTTTAATGGATGGAGTGCACGGGCGGGATCGCTCAGCAGATGCCCACCATGCTGGCTGCTCGGGCAGAGGCCAGACGCCGCTCCTGCAACCCCGCGACAGAGCCTCCGCACAACATCAAGCCACAAGCAAAAGGTGCTTCTCAGGGAGTTAAGTGTGGCACTAGGGAAATGCAGATCACAAGCAAAAATGACGAACTGTTAAAACAGACATGCTAACACAGCTGACATACGTGGCACTGGGACAGTGCCCAGGGACTAACATACCTGGGTCTGCGTGTTGCTGAGGTCTGACCCCTCGGCCAGGGAACTCAGCCATTGTACTAAAATACTGTCACACTGCAGACTGTCGGCCATGTCAGCACTGAAAGGGCCTGGGTGGCCCAGGGCAGCGATTTTGATTTAAAATTAACACGCAGCAGGGAGGGTGCGCGTCACGCACGCAGCTAGCCCAGCTTCGTTCCCAGGCACCCCACATGATGCTCCAAGTCCGTCCGGGGGTGACCCCTAAGTGCAGAGCCAGGAGCAAACCCCGAGCATAGCTGGGCGTGCCCAGAAATAAAAACGAACAAAAAGAAACTGTGCGTGCAGTGGTGGAGGCCAGCCTGAGTGCCACACACGTGGCCAGGCCAGCACTGAGAACATTAAGGACAGCGGGTCTCCGTCGGGTTATGGACCGGGGCGTGAACCATGACTGTCCACCTGAGCCCCTGGAAACCCGTCAGAAACGCAGCAGGCACACCCGCAAATAAGCGTGCCCTAACATAAGAGACCCAGTGGCACACAAGACCACACACGCACGAGAGCGGGCGGCAGGGGCAGGTGGGGAGCGGGCGCTGTGCTCTTCACACACGCGGGCAAGTCTGAAAACCACCAGCAGATGACGTCTGAGCGTAGGTGGGCTCAGACCATCGGCCCACCCGGCCCCAGCTCGGCCGCTCCTGTCTCCGACTGCCTGGGCCAGGTAACTGTCCGCAGGAAGCTTCCTGAAGGAACAATCTAGAACAGCATGTTAGCAAAGGGACAAAGACTGAGGCTGAGGGGCTGGAGACAGGAAACAATATAGGATCTGGAGGTGGGGGGCTCCATCTCCCAAGTCCATACGGAGGGGGCTCCTGGACCCCCATTCAACGCGACTCGGCCAAACAGCAAGGTCCGGCACCAAGAGCACCCCTCAGAGGAAAGCCGAGCTCTGGGGCATGCACGGGCCAGGCCCTGGGCCACCCCCGCTCTGCAGGGGGAGAGGGGTCCAGCCCTGGGCCGTCTCCACTCCAACACCACCACACGGAACGGGCACCTTCACCTCCAGAGAAGGCGGACACACAGGGCACCCCAGCGGATCAGTGCCATTCCTCCCTCTAAAAGAGGGTGTGTACACACGTGCACGCGTGTGTGTGTGTGTGAGAGAGAGAAGAGAGAGAGAGGCTGACTTGCTGAAAAGGGGTGTGTGTGTGTGTGTGTGTGTGTGTGTATGTGTGAGGCTCGTGTGCACATATGTATGTGTGTGTACATGTATGAGTGAGAGAGAGAGGGACTCGTGCAAAAAAAGGCATATATATGTGAAAGTATGAGTGTGTGTGCACAGACCTGTGTATGTATGCGCGTGTGTACCCAGGCAGACTGTTGCAGAGACACACCCCCCACCCCCCGCCAGCTTGGTCGGGGACAGCCGAGGTCTCCCAAGGAGCAGACCCACAGACAGAGCGACAGGCCACGCCCGCTCTGCCTGCCCGCGCCCGCGCTGACGGCCGCCCGCGTGGCACTCCGCCCGAGCAGCTTACCTTGTGGCACATGTAGGAGCCGCCCTTCTTCACACGGTCCTCCCCAAACGAGGGGCCTTTCTGCGGACAAGGAGGGAAGGCTTAGCGCAGAGAGAGCTGGGCAGGGTGCCCGAGCCTCCCACGGCCGCCCACTCGGAGACCACAGGCGGGGGCTGCTGTGACCCGCCCGAGTCGGAGCCCCGCCTGGCTGGTCCCGGCAGCTCTGAAGCAAGTTTCATCAGCCACCGAGCAGCCCCTGCCTTCCTGCCGCCAGCCAGGGCAGACGCCAGCTCAGACGGGGCCCAAAGAGACCCAGGGCCCGAGCACAGCAGTGTCCGGTCCTCACTGCAACATCAGGCGCCGCCAAGAACCGGGAAGACAGAGAGCCAGCCAGGCACGTCCACCCAGGGCAGAAGTGCGGCCGGGACGCCTGGGGCCTCAGCACCCACCACACAAACCCGAGCAAAAGGGGCATGAGGCAGAGATGGATGGAGAAGGAGAGAGCACAGGAACGATAAATATGGGGGTCTCTGGGGGCGACAGCCCTGCAGTGCTCGGGGGCTCCTCCCAGCCCAGAGGCACTCCTGGCAGTGCCCGGGGCAGAAGCAGCAGCTGCAGGTCTCAGAACTGACAATAATCCAGAGAAAAGCTTCTGCAAAGCAGCAAAATTGCAGGAGAGAGGGACGGGGGGAGGGGCCCGGTGACCCGGGAGCTGGGAAGCACCCTGAGCCCCACAGGACCATCCTTGAACACCACAGCAGGTAAGACCGAGCACCAGCACTGCAGCCCCAAACAGAACAAGAATATCACACTCATTCTTGCGGGTATGAGCACGGAACTACGAGTCCTGCTTCCTGGAAGGGAAAGAGGAGGTCACCGGCGCGCACTCAGGAGGCCCAGGTACTGCCAGGGTTCTGGCCAGGACAGTCCAGTCGGCTCATGATACTGATGGAGCCTGGGGGATACCTGAGCCGCCCACCCCCTTCCCCCTCCCTGCAGCCGGATGATGTCCAGGGAACCGCATGGTGCCAGGAATCGAACCAGCATCACCGAGGACCGTTTCCAGCCTCATCTGTGCATGTGACGAGCACGTGCTCTGGGGACAGACCCCGGGGTGTTCAGCCTTTTCTGGCTAATAACCAAGGGCTGCCCACCACAAAGAAAAACCACACGACAACTGGACGCAGGCAGAGCTGAGGTGCCGCCGGATGTCTCAGCCAGCGCCAGGCGCAGGAGACAAACGGCCTCCAGCTGTCAGGTGACCAGAGACGGGGGCCAAGGGGAGCCCCTGCGGCCTGTCTGGAGGCTTCACCCCACAGGCCCAGCCAGGAGGGGGAGCAGCTCCTGAGCGGGACGCCAGGCGCAGCAGGAAGGGCCGGGGTTCAGCTTCTGGGCTCTACCCCGGGGGCACAGGCCACTCAAGACGGGTCCTGCCGGGGCAGGGGCCGCGCTCACGGGCACAAAGCTTCCTTCCCTCGTCCGCAGCACGAGCCCAGCACGAGGAGAGGAGGGCACAGCTGGGGAGGGGACGGCCGCGGCGCTCAGGCTAAAGGGAAAGGGGTGTGGGCCCTGCCTGGCACTCCTGGCACATGGGGTCCCCGTGCTGCACGGCCCCACAAGCGGGTTCAGGGGGAGCACGGTCTCCTCGGCAGCTCTCCGTTTCCTAGAGGATGCACAGAAACGCCGGGAAGTGCTGGATCCTGTCCCGTGTCTGCTGAGGGGATGCAGGGAAGTCATGTAGCCTGTCACACGTGTGCTGGTGAGATGTGGGAAATGCATGTGTCCTGTCACGTGTGCTGAAGGGTCGCGGGAGTGCGTGCCCTGTCACACGCGTGCTGAAGGGACGCGGGCGCTGCGGACAGCTGGGTGTTAAGCACCAAGGTCAGCGGGTGCCAGTGCAGACACAGTGTGACCGCCTCACTGTTCCGGGATACGGGCGAGGCCCTTGAGCATCAGAGGCTGAGACACTGGGGGAGCGTCAGGGGTGCGTGGGACCCCTGAAGGCCCACCTGTGCAGGAGGCCCAGCACGGGGAGGGAAGGGGCCACACGCTGGGAGTGGGTCGGGCCCAGAATGGGGCCCTAGGTGGCAGCTGCCATCTCTCTGAGAGCTCCCAGAAGGTTCAGTCCTGAGCAGGGGGCTCATTCCACCAGAACCAGAGCTGGGCGGGCCCGTTCCACCAGAACTGGTGAGTGGCCTCCTCAGCCTGGGAAACCTGAGACTGTCAGCTGCAGACGCATGACGCAGACGCATGACACAGGGAGCGACATGACAGGCTGCTCCCGGCCCTGCTCAGGTGAGGGGGGTTAGGCAGGAGGCTGGGGCGGTGGGAATCTGCAAGGAAGGTTCTGGAGTGCCTCCAGGTGGGGCGCTGTCAGATGGCCTCTGGGAGTGTGGGTGGCCTCGGGGGGCTGGATGGCGTGAGGAAAGCTCCGGAATGTCTCTGCTGAAGATGCAGGTGCATTAAGGAAGTCCTGAGTGTCCCATCGCCCTCCCAAGGATGCAGGGAGGCACAAGGAAGGTTCCAGGATAGGCCACAAGAGCAGGGAGAGGCTGGAGTGAGTCCGCGCCCAGTGCAGACCAGCAGCTCGTGCGGTGAAACAGGGACAGGAACCAATGCTGGCATCTCCCTGGCGCTACTGGGCTTTCCCAGAGCCCATATGCCCGGAGGGCTCAGTGGCCAGGGGCCGTCTGGGGCCAGCCCGCTCCTCCTCACGGCCACAGAGGAGGCTCCAGAGCCCCCGCGGCCAGCAGGCGCCGGGGCAGGAGGTCGGCATGCATTCACTGCTCGGACTTCTCCCTGAAACCGTCCGTCCCGGGTGACACGGGTCAGGCGCGGGCTGGCACTGAGGGGCGGGAGCACTGACCCCCACGCCACAGCTGGCCAGTCTCAGAACAGCCACGGGAGGGCCAGAGACACACAGGCTTCGCGTGTAAGAGCTCCGGGCTCCAGGCCTGGCACCAGGGGGTCTCCCAGTCACCCCTGGGGGCGTCCCTGGAGCCCTGAGCTGGGACCCACCCCAGCACCATGGAATGGAGCCCCAGAAATGAAAGGCAAAAGCAGCTGTACGGGGGACATGGGCCGGACTGTGTCAGCACAGAAATGCAGAGGCCCTTTACACGGCTCCCGAGCACGAACACGCACATGCGGGCACATGCAGACATATGCCCCATGCCTGCACACGTCTATTCACGAGCGCCCATGCACACATGCACGCACATGTGTGTGCTCCCTTCTCCTGCCAGTGGGGCTGATGTGACCCCCTCTGCAGGGTCTGACGCCCTGGCTCACTTCGGCCAAGCACGGGCACCTGCTGCAGCCCAATAACCCACACGCTAATGATTAACCCTCCCTCCCCAGGGCCGGAAGGAGCCGCTCCCCGGACCAGCTGTGCGTGCAGCACTGGCCCCCCCCCCCAGCTCCCCGAAGGCTGGGGGATGGGCGCCAAGAGCTGCAGAGCGGGGGAGGGGTGCCCCAGGAGGCGGGCGAGTGCCGGGGCATCTGACAGGAGCAGCCTTCAGAACGGCCTGGCGGGGCACTCGGCTCGGGGGCAGCCTCCCTGAGACCAGCCAGCGGTGCCCGCCGGACCCCGCTGCCCGGGAGGACGGGGCACAGAGACAGACCAGGCTTCAAGGGCAGAGGACCCCAAAGCCACCCAAAGCCACCGTGAGCAGCGGGGCCGCGACGAGCACCCTGCCTGCTGCCCAGGCCGGCCTGCCCAGATGGACGGGGCGGCCGAGGGCCACGGACAGCCTCTCAAGAGCCCAGCGGCTCCGCCTGCCCCACAGAGGGGGTCTGAGTCTTGATTGGTCACGAGCAGCCCACGGGCCATTCCGGAATGCCCAGCATGACCAGCAAACCGACCCACATTCCGAAAGGCGACCTGAGAGGCTCAGGCACGCGACTCCCCTCCCCGGTGCTCTCACTCGCCCGGGCCCTTCGGAGGGGAAGTTCCACCTGGCGCCTCCCGAGAGCCACGCGGCTGGGCTGAGGGCGGACGAGCTCGCGCCCCCGGGGGGCGTCGGTGTGGACCCGTCTGCGAAGGCCCAGCCTGCTCTGCTCACCCCGGGAGAAACGGCACCTTGGCAAGCTCGCCTGCCCCCATCCGTGTCTGAGCTGCGGTCGGCTGCGGGGGGCAGCCGCTGGCCCAGGAGCCCCGCGCGTGGACACCAACAAACGGGTCCTTCCCCCGTCCATCCCGAGTCCTGATCCTGAAGCCTGGGCCGCAGGGGGTGCGGAACACTTCTGACCACGCCTTCCCCTGACCCACTACTGACCCAAGGGCCTCACCCGGTCACTCGGGGCGCTGAGGGGGGGGCAGAGGCCCTGCGCGGCCCCCGGGCGCCACCCGAGCACTGGGGGCAGAGACTCACCGGGTTCTGCGTGGCGGCCGCCGAGTGCTGCACGCTCCACCAGTCCGCCGTCCACTCCCAGGCGTTGCCCACCATGTTGTACAGGCCAAAGTGGTTGGGCGGGAAGGCGTCCACCTGCAGTGAGTCAGGAGACCGTCCCCTCAGAGGCGCTCCCTGGGAAAACGCCGCACGCGGGGCCAAGGCCAGAGACAGCGGGTGCGAGCAGCCCACAGCCGAGCTGCCGACAGAGGCGCAGGCGCCTGAGGCAGGTCGGAGATGGGCGGGGAGGCTCATCAGGACAGTCACCTGGTGCCTGCCTCACCAGGACAGTCCTGAGCGTCACCCCGAGGGGACCGGCTCATAAAGGAAATGGGAGACAGCGTTGGCCCACGTGCAAGAAGCGGGTGCAGACGCAGGGGAGGCAAACCAGCCCGTGCCAAAGCACGGCGGTCTGTCCCCCGGGACACTGGACAGTCAAAGCTCTAACCCCAAGGCCCCGTGGCGACTCAAAGGGACTGTCCCTCCGCCCGCCACTACTCGCGGGGACTGTCCCTCGCCCCGCGGCTACTCACGGGCGCTGTCCCTTGGAAGCCGTCCTCGCCGCTGTTGGTCACGGGGAAGGTGCCCTGCCAGAGGTTGGCATAGTGCTGGCCCCTGGGCTGCAGCTTGTTGCCCCACGGGAACAGCCTGCGGGAGAGACTCAGCCTGGCCACGGCCCCAGGAGGGACACGAGGACGGATGACAGATGGACGGACAGATGAAGCCCCACACCAACTTCGGGGATCCAGTTCCCACAGACAAGACATGCCAGGGACCCAGGGCCGAAGGAGGCGCGGGATGGGCTCGGAGACAGGACCCCCAGTGGGGGCACAGATGGCGCCCACACCTCCGAGGAGCCCCCCAGATACAGGCCCCCAGCGGGGTCTTGGGCTTAAGACCTGGGATACAGGAAGGCCCTGGCCTGAGAGGATGGCTGGCAAGAGCCTGGGGGGCTTCGAGCCTGGGGCACCAAGACCACCTGCCCTTGGGGACGAGGCAGCGCCATGGTGGGGGGGGGCAGGGCACTCCAGGCTGTGGGGTGTCGGGGGTGGGGCCCACCCCAAACTGTGGGATGCGGAGGGATGGGGAAGAGGGTGCCCGAGCTGCGGAACGTGTGAGGGGGGGCACCCACCTGCCCTCCAGGCCGCCTCGGCAGCCGTACTCCCACTCGGCCTCCGTGGGCAGCCGCTTGCCCGCCCAGGTACAGAAGGCCACAGCATCGTTCCAGGAGACGTGGAGGACTGGGTGGTCCAGCCTAGGGGGGAGGACGGACAGAAGTGAGCAGGGTGCGGACATGGTGCCACCAGCACCCTCCGTCAGCCCAGGGCCCGGCCAAGCCCCACGTGCGCTCCAGACACGTGGCAGCCCAGCTGAGAGCGATCGGGTCGGACTCGGTACACCCCACCCCACAGCGGGCTACCCTGCCCATCCCCTCGCGGGGTACAGTGGACTCAGGGTGGCAGCCCCACCCCAGAGGAGGGGCTGCGTGCTATGGGGTGTCCCTCGGGGTCACACTCAATTCTCAGGGTCCTCCCAGTGATGGGGATACTGACAGCCACGCCCGAGGCAGCTGGGAGCATGAGGGCCCAGCCCGGACACCCACACCCGGCCCCCGCGCCCAGCCCTGACCCCTGTGACCAACCCTGACCCCCACGCCCGGGACCCTGCGCTGCTTCCCCGTAGAGCTCAGGCACACACAGCACCCCACACGCACCCTCCTCCCCTCACATTTCCAGGGGAGTGACACCCGCTGTGGTGACTCAGTGGCCTGGGGCCCAAGGAACCTGGCAGCAGGAGTGGTGTCCCTGTGGGAGACGCTGGCCCTGGGACCTCGCCAGCTGCGCCGAGGCAGGTTCCGGGACCCTGGGATGGGGCCGGGACCCTTCTGGCAGTGGCCACCCTCCCTGATGACAAGGCCAGCACTAGGGACCCCTGGGGACCCGGGGCTGCTCCATTTCTGCGCCAGGACCCGGGGGACGCGCTGCCCCACTTGCCACGGTGCCTTCTCCACACCGGGACCCGCGAGACGCACTGACCCACTTCCTGCGTCTGGCCGCCATGTGCCACCCAGGGCAGCTGGGGGAAGGGGCGGAGGAGGGGCAGGGACTCCGGGGCCAGTGGGCTCCCCAGGGCCGCACTTCCAGGGAGTGTCCACAGGGCCCAGGTCGGAGGGAAGTGATGCTGCCGCCTTGTGCAATGGAGCCAGGCGTGAGCCCAGAGTGTGCCAGGAACGAGGCAGGGTCTAGGCACTGCTTCCTGGAGCTCCCTTGGGTGCGGGAAGAGGCCCCAAGGACACGCATCCTGGCAGAGATCCAGCAGCCCACCTGGGCGGGAGCCCCCGTGCGCAGCCCACCTGTGCAGCAGAGTGGAGTTGGGCCCTTCAGGGTGCCGCCAGCTGGCTCCTTTCACAGGTAACCACCAGGGAGCCTCCGCCACCTGCAGCGAACCAGAAAGGCCAAGGTCAGCTCTGCGGGAAGGGACAGACTTGGCCCGGCCCCTTGGCACATCCCAGACTCGACACGGACACCTACAAGAGAGACCCGACACGGCCCGTCCACTCGGAAGAGACCCCGACACGGCCCGTCCACTCTAGGAGACCCTGACACGGCCCCATCTGCCCTTGGGACTGCCCCCGGCATGACGGTTTCCGGAGGAGCCAGGGTCGGGCCACCACCCTGTGACCAGAGAAGACACCTGAGACCCCGAGGCGGGTGTCTGGAGGGCCGAGCCCGCAGCTGGCATGCGGGAGGCCCTGCCCGACCCTGACCCCCAGCAGCAACCTCTGCAGCCCGCGTGCTCTGACACCTGAACGGCACCTACGACGCTCACTCCACAGAAAGAGCTTTCCACGGAAGACACAACTAACGCGGCTCAGCTCCTACAGGAAACTAAGAGACGGACTTCCTGTAGGGGGCGCTGCCAGGGAGTCCAGGGTGGTCGTGCCACCAGGACCTGTCCTCGGGAGCATCGCCGAACCCTGACTGGGGAGCACGGCGGCCAGGGGGGCTTCCAGGAGGACCGTGTCATGGCAGAGCCTGTCACAAACCCAACATTCCTGACATTCCAAATAACGAGGGTGTCATTTAGAACGACCCCACGAGGCGTCTGTGACACAGAAGCCGCACGGAAGTGGACACTCGCAGCGCCCACGCGCGCAAACCTGCCAGGAACCCGCTGACGTCTCCAGCAGCGGCACGGAAGGCGGCTTCCTCCCGGCTGATGGTGGTTCCGGCCGGCTGAGCTGCAGGCGCCCAAGTAACGGGTCCCAGGGGGGCCTGGAAGGGGGGGTGGCCTCGTCCCCAGGGGCCTGGGGGTCCGCTGTGACCCTGGGCACTGCCATGCCCCATGGAGAAAGGCAGAGGGTGGGGGGAGGGGAGGCAGAGCTGTGGGGCAAGGGGCAAGGCTCGCGGGGGAGGGGGGGGAGGGTCATGAAGCCAGAGCAGGGCCGGCCCGTCCAGCCCTTTGTAAACAGGCTTAAAAGGTTTGTACTGGCGTCAGGGGCACTTAGGCAGGAAGCGCCCCGGGCTCGGGCAGGTTCTCGGGGGCCTCCTGGTTACCAGGGCACAGGCTGTGGCCGAACACACAGCCTCAGAGCCCACAACCCCCATGCGGCAGTGTGCCTGGGCCCAGACAGACAGACAGACAGAGGCAGTGTGAGACCCAGCCTCGTTCAACCTGCTCGCTCAGCCGACCCAGAACCCTGCACACGAAGCAGACAGATCCGGTTTCAGGCGGACACATCCTGTCGGCAGGGAGGAGCAGCACACGCACCACGCTCTCAGGCCCCAGAGGCCCCGGAAGGGGCTCAGAGACAGAAGCCACCCCCGTCCCCGTCCCCCACACCTGCTGCCCAGGCTCGCCCTGTCCTTCGGCCCCACGCTCAGAGACCCCCGGAATGAGCACACGGGCAGGACCGTGTCAGGACTCACTCAGCACACGGAGGGACCGTGTCGGGATCGGCACGCAAACCCATCTCCCACAAACGCCCCCCAGGAGCCTGTGAGGGGTCCTCCTTGCCAGCCCCCCGAGATCTGGAGTGCAGAGGGGACGTGACCCAGCCACCACCAGGCGGCCCGGAGTCCAGAGCAGGGAATCAGCCCAGGCCCAGTGGCGCCCCAGAGCACCGGTCAGCGACACGGGGGGGTGGGGGGGGGTGGGGGGGGGTGTCTCTGCAGTGCCGTCACACGAGCAGGGGTGGCAGCCCTCACCGCCTGCTGGATGCCAGCCTTCACGCGCTCGCTCAGCAGCCCTTCAAACACGAACGAGTCCCCGAACCTTTCGGCCTGGAAGGAAGAACACAGAGAGAGGGACCAGGTCAGGGCACATGCCCGTGCAGGAGCCCCCACCCTCTGAATCAAGCTGACCATGCAGGAACACCCCTTCGGCCCCCCGCAACAAAGCTGGGTGCCCTGGGCTGAGGGACCAGCCTTGAGGCCGCACAACCTCCTGAGGGTCACCTCGCCACCAAAGGATGAGCTCCTGGCCCTGGCAGCTACAAGGCTGCAAACACCCCCATCGCCCACCACCAGGGCCATCGAGATGACCGTGACCCAGTGACCCTGCACCAGGCACTGCCCCTGGGGCTGGCTGAGGGACTCCTTGCTGGGGGCTGAGCCCGTACTGGGCTGAACGTCTCCACAGGCGCCCCCCGGTTCAGCCCTCCTGCAGGGTTGGGGGAGGGGCTCCCCAAGTCCCCAGACCTCCAGGGCAGGCCCCAGTTACTCCAAATACCCCACGTCCCCCCCCTCCCCGCCAGGCCTCTCCCGAGCACAGGCGCCCTGTGGCACCTCAGGGCACTGCTATGTCCCTACCCTGCCCCACCCAGTCAGGGAACCACACCTGCAGCCAGCACAGACCCTTCCCGCCGGGGCACCTGGCCTGGCCACCCACAGCGCCCTGCCATGGCCTGCCCGTGCCCACACGATAGGGGTCAGGCCAGCTCTGATCCCGGGCATCCCCAAAGATCCAACAGGACCCCGTCACCGGGCAGAGGGAGGCCCAGGACCCCATCACCGGGTCAAGGGAGCCCCCCCGGCCCGTGACACTGCAAGGGTGACATGAGCCCCAACGTAACAGGCAGAGGAAGCATCAGGAGAACAGACGCAGGGGTGGAGGGGAGCCAGGAACCCAGGAACCAGTCCAAGTGGGGAGAAGGTATCAGAAGCAAGACCACAGCGGGGTCGGGGAACAGGGGACAGGGATGGGGGGTGGGAAGCAGTTTCCCAGTGCCACTGACCCCCACACACACCACGGCAGGTCCCAGGCTGCAGCTGGCACGGGCGTCTGAGGGGCACAAGCCCAACAGGACACACGGTCAGACTGTGCTGCCCCCTTGATGCAATGCTGAGTCTGCTGACAGCGGGGCCAGACCAGAGGGCCCCTCCCCTGTGCGCCGGGGGACTACAGTCCAGCCACTGCACCCCCCCACGTGGCCCGCCAAGGCACCTGTGAGAGACACGAGGCCATGAGGCTCCCGTCACTCTCCCACCAGATTCCTCAGCAGGAACAGGGAAACGACCAGCAGGGACCCCGCCGGCAGGGCACGGGGCAGGGGTCCTGCACACAGGTGGGCGACACAGAGACCCCAGGTGCCCATGTGCGCCAGGAGCCGCCAGGGGGAGCTCGTGAGGGCCAGTGGGCAGTCGCCAGTGTACCAGCCATGCCAGCACTCAGCCCCTCCCAGGGACCCTGCTGCTCCCGGCCTCCCCTGGTGTGATGTGCCAGGTACAGCCCCTCCCCACCCCTCACCTCTGTCAGGTAGCCCGTGGCATTCACGAACTTCTCGAATTCCGCGTTGCTGACTTCATAGGCGTCGAGGTAGAAGGCGTCCACGGCCACCCTGCGGGCCGGCGCCTCCCCATCCAGCTTGGTCTGGGGGTCGTCTGTGCCCATGGTAAAGACGCCGGCAGGGATGGGGACCATCTGCAGGGGAAGGCATAGGGGAGTCAGCTGGGGTGCCCCAGTCACATACGCACCCCACCCCCACCACACACACACACACACACACACACACGCACACACCCCACCCACATACCTACACCCAAGCAGGCAGAGAGAAATGTGTTTCATATGGTCCCTCAAGCCCTGCGAGAGATCCCTGGGCACAGAGCCAGGAGTACCGGGTGTGGCCCCCAAATAAGACACAAAATGAGGGCGGGAGATATAGGACAGCAGGGAGGGCGCTGGCTGCGAGCACAAATCTGGGCTCCACCCCGCCTCCTCAGACGCCCCGCGCCCTCAAGCCCTGCTGGGAGAGATGAGAGCCCTCCCCACAGACTGCCTTCTCCAGTGACTCCTAGCAGGCTGGTAAACAAGGGTCCCCAGGTTCCAAACAGCCTGAGTGTGGCTGTAGATAAAATGTCACAGTATCTCTGCCATGAGTGTGGCTGTGGATCAAGTGTTACACAGTATCTCTGCCGTATCTCAGCAACACTCACGCCCTGACTTTGTAGCAGAGTGAAAGGCCCTTTGGTGGCATCTTGCTTCTTTGTATCTCTGCGCTTCCAGGAAACAGAGAAACATACCCAGAAGGGGTTGGGGTGGCCACCGCACAGGGCTGCAGGACACCCCTCTGATTTATTCTGCCGCCCAGACCCTCCCTGATCCCTCTCCCCCAGCCCCCACCCCCCTCCAAGGCTAACCCAAAGCAACCTTTGATCTCAGGAACTTCCGGAAAGGCAGGAGGGGCCACCTCCACTCCAAGTGCTGTGACTCTCCTGCCAAGTCCGGCCCTGCAAGGAAGGATGCCTCTGGCCACTGCAAGCGAGGGTCGCCGAGAACCCGACTTTGACATCACCTTCTCGGCACACCCAGGACATAAACCTATTCTTAAGTTTGTTTGGTTTGGGGTCACCAGGCGATGCCCAGGGGCAACTTCTGGCTCTGCATTTCAGGAATTACTCCTGGTGGTGCTTGGGGGACACACGGGGTGCTGCGGATCGGACCACGTTGAGCGTGAGCTCGATCTAGCCCGATTCTTAAATCTGTGTCTAAAGATCATCTGCTGAATTAAACAAATCAAACAGAAAACAAAGGTGTGGGGAATGAGTTCAATGCAATCGCAATCCGAACCCTACCGTGTTGTTTTACAAAAGTCAACAAACGCACGCTGAAGTCCACATGGAGAGGCCGAACTCAGTACCAACATCTTTGGGGAGAGTCATGGCCCATTCCACCCGGCACCAAGCGCCACCAGGTGCGGCCCAAACACCCCTCCGAAAATAAAACAAAACAGCCAACACAGGGGACGGAGCAATAGCACAGCAGGTAGGGCCTTGCCAGGAGCTGACTCGCATTTGATCCCCGGCACCCCAGATGGTCCCCGAGCCCACCAGGAGTGACCCCGAGATAGACCCAGGAGTCAGCCCTGAGCATAGCAAGGTGTGGCCCCCAAACCAAAAATAAATAAATAAGAATAGGTAAAAGGTAAAGGTAAAGGCCCTCCCGTTGATCGTCGATTTGCTCGAGCGGGCCCAGTAACGTCTCCATTGGAGACTTTGTTGTTACTGTGTCTGGCATATCGAATACGTCACGGGGAGCTTGCCAGGCTCTGCCGTGCGGGCGAGATACTCTCGGTAGCTTGCCGAGCTCTCCGAGAGGGGCGGAGGAATCGAACTCGGGTTGGTCATGTTGGCTGCGTGCAAGGCAAACGCCCTACCGCTGTGCTATCGCTCCAGCCCTAAATAAGAATAGCCAACACAATATTAAGGATAAAAACATGCAGAGGACCAATGCTATCCAACTTCCAAAAATTTACTAGCAAGTTCCAGCAAAGAAGACCATAGGACCCCAGAGAAAATCGACATACACAAATTCAGCTGTCCCAGACAAAGGAGCAAAGGCAACACAATGAGGCGGCATTCCCTTCCACCAAGGGCACTGGGATCATCGCGTACAAAACTAAGCAAGCCCAGACAAAGACCCTACACCTTTGGCAAACACCGACTCAAAAGGGATTACAGAGTTCAATGTAAATCTCAGTTACTAAGCTCCTAGAAGGGAATGAAGGAGAAAATCTAGTGGAACTTGGTTACGGGAAACACCAATATTTGTTTGTAGTCAACACCTTCTTGTCTCGGTCAGACCAATGATGTACTTGATCACTCGCGCTTGTACCATCAGGTCCTCGATGGATGCATCTGATGCTAGCGTACGTGCATTGAAAGTACAGGCGATCATTTTTGTCTTCCTTCGTTGTGGCAGCCTAGGTCGGCCTTGAGATTTTGTCGGCCTCTCCTTTCTCATCCTTCTCAGTGCTGCCATGTCGGTGAAGCCTTCAGGGTCAGGTGAATGAGACCAGTTGTAGTTACTGGTTTTGGCATATCGAATACACAACGGATAGCTTGCCAGGCTCTTCCATGCGGGCGGAATACTCTCGGTAGCTTGCCAGTTTTCCGAGAGGGATAGAGGCTTTTGGGGCGACCTCTAATCACCCTTGTAGGTGTTACCATATTTGAACCCTATCAAATACGGTACGACAATTCCGGAAGATGGGTATTTAGTGTCTTATGATGTGACCCGCTTCGCGGCCGCGCGGGTCCGGAAAGCATCCTGGAGTGTGGCGACGGCTGGGTAGTGGAAGTAGTGTCGACTTCTTCGTCAAGATCATGAACAATCGGTTTGAGGCCCTTCATGTTCCCGGAGCGAACAGATGCCATTGGGCTACACTAGCACGCGACAGGGACAAATGGAGACGTTACTGGTGCCCGCTCGAGCAAATCGACGACTAACGGGAAGTTAAGTGATTAAGTGATTAAGTCAACACCAAAGCAGCATCTACAGAAGACATAACTGCCCAACTGGGCTTCATTAAAATGGGAACTTCTCCTCAAAGGACCACGGCTATTTGAAGGCTAGCTGCAGACTGGGAGAAGACAGTTCTAGAAGACACAACCGATACAGGACTGTCATCCTGAATCTACAAAGAATACTTAGAACTCGGCAGTAAGAGAACAAGCAATCCAGGTGTGGGGTGGTCCAAAAGGGCAAACAGGCAGCAGACGAGCGCACGAAAAAGGTATATAGTATTCACGACAACCAAAATGCAAATTAAAAGGAATGAAAATGAGAGCCCACAAACCTGTGACACAGCCCAGAGCTGCCGCACAAAAACCCGGGCAGGCAGCAGCAGGAGACGCGCTTATGGCCACTGGGAGAGGTGGTGATCTCTCACCAAACTCACCATCCGCTCGCCATTTGATCCAGCAACCACTCCTAGGGCATCAGCCACGGGAGACAAACATTTATGGCCACACGAGAGCCTGAGCACTGATGTTTGGGGCAACTTTGTTCACCAGTGCCAGGACATGGAAGCCACTGAGCTCCCCCCAGTAGATGAATGGACAAATATTCAATACACAAATGGAAAAGCAGTGTGGTCCTGCCACACAGTGGCCTGTTGTCCCGTGCTAAAAAGACATGAGCTAGCGAATGAAAGACAGGAAAGAACTCAAACATATTACTACCCAAAGGAACCAGTCCACAAAGGCTTTATATTGTGCACTTCCCACTATAGGACATTCTAGAAAAGGCAAAACTATGAAGACAGTAAAAGCACCAGTGGTTGTCAGGAGAGATGAGGACGGGGGACGATGATGGTAATGCTGGATACATGTCATCCAACACCGACAGAGAACTTCTTGATATCAACCAAGAGCGTCCAGAGATCCATGAAGGAGCATTCTTTGTAACAATGCGGCATCTTCAAGGGGGAACTGTGAGGGGGGCTTATGGAAATCTCCACTTTACTGAGAATCTAATCAAATGTGTTCCAGGGGCGGCGGAGGGGGGGGGGGTAGGGGGGAGGGGCAGCTGCCTCTGAGACAATGTACCTCACGGGAGTTCCTAAATATAAAGTCAACGATTGTGTTAGGATTAGATCACAGTTATGAAACATTTGAGACAGAGAGAGAGAAGAATGCCCAATAACTAAGGCTCCCTCTAGGCATTACAGAACATAAATGCGAGGCCTGGCCAAAGAGGACCCTCACAACAGCCAGTGTGGACACAAAACCACTCTAAATGAGGTCACTTACATGTGTGTGCACACACAAAATGTTGTAATGCCTATCTTGTAATGTGACACCAAAGAAACTGGGAACCACGTCCCATTTGGAACTGGGAAAATGAAGCACTGGAAATGGTAAATTTGGGGCTGAAGCAATAGCACAGCGGGTAGGGTGTTTGCCTTGCATGCGGCCAACCTGGGTTCAATTCCCAGCATCCCATATGGTCCCCTGAGCACCGCCAGGGGTAATTCCTGAACGCAGAGCCAGAAGTAACCCCTGTGCATTGCTGGGTGTGACCCAAAAAGCAAAAAAAAAAAAAAAAAAGAAAAGAAAGAAAGAAAATGGGAAATTTTCAGTACTTATGAGAAAGCTATAGGCAACATTTCAAGACAACCCTAATGTGTATCTCCTACAAATGAAAGACGCCCTCTAAGCACTGAGCAGATGTGGGAATTTCTCTGTAGAAGGAAGGAAATTATCAATTACTGAGCATGTTATAGAGGAACTAAACTCAGGCATGGCAACATACATTGCAACTGTGATGGATGAGCCCAAGTCCTGCTGAATGCCCCACCACGCAAAACAGAGAGTGGCAGTTCCTCTGTGGACTAAAAGGAAGAACTTTAAATGCCAATAACTGCATGCAAAGTGATGGCACTGACCCCCCCACCACCACCAATAGACATTGACAGACAAGCACATCTAGTGACTATGTCAAGAGTAAGAAATAAGAAAGGGGGAAACAGGGGTGGGGTCTGTGAGGGACAGGCCCAAAATGGACTACCACCAGAATTAATTTAGCTTAGCTTAATAGGAACCTGCATTGCAAAATAACTTGTTTTTCAAGGAACAGGTCTAGATAAGCTTTTTCAGATCCACTTTGTAGGAGCCTGCACTGCAAAATAACTGGTTTTTCTGCCCCTGACCAAGGAATTCAGATACAGGTACTCGAAGGGTGGGGGTCAGACCAGATAACCGGATGTCTCTCACAAGACCCATGTTGCAAGACCCAGGACTGCCTTAAAAACCTGTCAGTTCCTAAGCACCGACACAAAATGCTGATCTTTAAACTATAGGCTAAGAAGTGATGTACCCTTAATTGGATTGGTTAAGAAAGCATATGTTGTTACAAATCTATTGGCTATGAAATGTGCGGGCTTTGCTGTAACGGCCAGTGAAGGCCTATATAAGACCCCCTTTGAAGAAGTTTGGGGTCTTGCCTCACCTAACTGACCTGCGTGTCTGTGTAGGTGGCTTGACCCTGGCTAGCCAGTCTTACAATAAACCTTGCTTGCTGTTTGCAGTCTTGCAGTCTCTGGAGTCTCTTTGTCGTTAAAGGGAGATCACGATCGCGCCCTAACAGGGTCGGCTACGGCTGCCCCAGGATGTCTCCTCCCACAGAGTCCTGAAACTTGTCAGAACTAATCAGTCCTCAATGAAGTCAATGAAGTGGGGTAGAAACGGCGGCCCTCGCCTGGAAGAGCTAGTTTAGGATTGGATGGTCCTGGCTGTAGTCTCCTCCTTGCTTCCAGAAACAAAACAATACACAAATTACCCTGGCAGACAGGAAGAACAAAGCAATGGGCATCTGCCTTGCAGGCGTCCAACACGGTCAACCCGAGTTCCAGGTCAACCCGAGTTCCATTCCTCGGCCCCTCTCAGAGACCCGGGCAAGCTACCGAGATCTCTGCAAGCTCCCCGTGAGGTATTCGATATGCCAACAAGTAACAAGTAACAAGTAACAAGTAACAAGTCTCATAATGGGGATGTTACTGGGCCCGCTGGAGCAAATCGCTGTAACAACCGGAGGACAGACAGTGCTGCAGTGCCACTTATATATCCTGACATCCTGGCACTCACACATCCAGGCACAAAACGACGGTGGTCTTGGCCTCGCCCGGGTGCTGGAGTGCCAAGGTCAGGAGGGAAAATGAGGCAAGTCGTGGTCGCCTAGGACACGCCCAACCACCCACAGGAACGCAAGAAATGCTACGCGAGAGACGCGACGTCAGAATCAGCCTCCCGATTCCTCGCCGGCGAACAAGAACCCGGGACCCAGACCTAACCTGGCTGGGCTGACATTCCGGGCGAGGGCAGAGGGAGGAGGAAACGGCGGGTCGGGGGCACGGCAAGGCCCAACGACGGCCTCCGACCATCCTTCCCGGAACCGGGCACGGCCGCCGAGTCCCGACCACCGCGCGAGCCGAGGGCACGGAGCCCCCCGCGGGACCCGTGGGCGAGGGCGCGGGTGGGGGCGGCCTCCCCGCCCGCCCCGCGCCGGCCTCCCGCCACCCCGACCGCGCGCCGACCCCCGCCCGCCCCGGGGCCCCGGGCGCACCTTGGCCGGGCCCGCCGCGTTGGCCTCGCGCGAGTAGCGGTGCGCGGCTGCCGAGGCGCCCTGCGCTCCGGGCCGCCGCGGGGAGCCGCAGCCGCACGAGCCCGGCCCGGCCTCCCCGTCGCCCGCCGCGGCGCCCGGCGCCCAGAGCAGCGGCAGCACCAGCATCAGCTTGAGCCCCGCTCGGCGGTCCCGAGCGCGCCTCCGCGCGGGCGCAGCCATGTTGTCCTGCGCGCCATGTGACCCGGCCGGTCACGTGGGCCCGCCTTCCTTAAAGGCGCCGCACCCCGGTCCCGTTTAGACGGCCCATCGGACCGCGCTTTGGCCGCCTGCCTCTTTCCCCTTGGGCGCTGTTGGGGTAGAAACTCCACAGAGTCCTACAAAGTTCTAGACCTTGCACAGACTTCTGCTTCGTATTCTTTATTGGTTAAAGAGACTGTTGCCAAATCTTTTTTTTGTTTTTTTTTTTTTTGCTTTTTTGGTTTTTGGGTCACACCCGGCAGTGCTCAGGGGTTTCTCCTGGCTCATGCACTCAGGAATTGCTCCTGGCGGTGCTCAGGGGACCATATGGGGTGCTGGGAATTGAACCTGTGTCGGCCGTGTGGGCTGCGTGCAAGGCAAACGCCCTACCCGCTGTGCTATCACTCCAGCCCCACTATTGTCAAATCTTAACTGACTTTTTTCTAAGGAGACTTTTTTATTATTATTTTTAGTGAATTAGTCGTAAACGGCCTTCCATTGGGGCAGGCTTGAATGGTGGCTGGGAAATTTTGAAATAATCGTGGTAGGGAGGTGTAATGGTGGCGGGTTTGGTGTGTGGAATATTCAACGTAATAAATTATTGTGAACAACTTTATTCAAATTTTTAAAAAGGAAATACAAAAAAAAAAGGAAAAACTGTTGTCGCATTTATTGCCCATCTGCTACGGCAACTGAAGACCTCGGGAACCCAGCCATATCCATGCTTAAGACCACTCTCCACACGCTCGGACGGGCCTTATGCACGAAGGAACCAGCAGAGGAACCCAGGCATGCGGGACCAGGGCCTGAGATCACCAAGCTTGCTCGGATCAGGACTGGTCCGCCTCCATCCAGTTCCCCCATCTTCCAGTAGCTAGACAGTTACACCTGATGTAGGCAGGTAGATAGGGAAAGGCTCCTTGCAATTCTAGGAAGAATTCTAGGAATGACCCACCTTGTGGACACAGAAAACAAAGGCCTGATAAGACCATCCGCAGACCCTCAGGACATAGGCCTCCCCATGGAATTCCTCTTTTTGGACCTCCCTGGTAACCTCCTTAGCAACGGACTTTTACCTGGGAAGAAGCCCCACGTGGGGGCAGGTTGAAGAAACCCTATAAAGGCCACCTGGAACAAAGGAAGGGCTCGCATATGCTGCCTGAGCCCATGTGTGCTTACGCCCACGTGGCTGAGCACATGTGGTGCCCGAGCACATGTGTCGCCCGCATCTCCCCTCTTGAGATGTGTACTTTCATGCTTTGATCTCTCTCTCTCTCTCTCTCTCTCTCTCTCTCTCTCTCTCTCTCTCTCTCTGCCCCTCCTATTTCTTTCACTGCTTGTCTACTGAAATTCCTTTCTGCGAGGCGAGACAAGAACCCAGTAACCCTGGGTCCCGGATGGCAGAGGCGGGGAGAAAGTGACTGTCTTTCTCCTCCCCACTTCATATAAGTCACCTGTGGGGCCCACCGACATCACACCCACCAACTGCCGTGTAATCCCACCAACAGCCAAGACCCAGAGACTATAAAACCAAGCTCCCGGAAGCGCGCGGCCTCTTATTGTCTAGTTCTCGCTCTTGGAGAACCTGGCAGGCTACCAAGAGTATCTGCCCACACGGCAGAGTCTGGCAAACTCCCCATGGCGTATTCGATATGCCAAAACCCAGTAACAGTGATGGGTCTCATTCCCCTGACCCTGAAGGAGCCTCCAATGTGGCACTTGCTAAAAGCTCAGGGCTAGGACGAATGGAGACGTCACTGGTGCCTGCTCAAGGAAATCGATGAACAACGGGATGGCAGTGATACAGTGATTCTAAGTGCCTAGCTATTCCAATTCCTTGAAATCTAATTAGCTTCCCAAGGGCATGCACAGAACATGGAAATGACTTGCCCAAGGCCACTAGGCAAAAGCTTATTTAAACACAGAGAAGCTGTATTGCAAATCATAATGCCCCAAAGTAAAGAGAGCATGGGGTAAATTGTTTGCCATAGAGGCAGGGGGAGCAGTGGGATGGAGGATGGGGTCGGTGGGATATTCTGGGGACATTGGTGGTGGAAAATGTGCACTGGTGGGTGGGTGGGTGTTAGATCATTGCATGACTGAAACTCAAACAGGAGAGCTCTGTAACTGAATTTCACGGTGATTCGATTAAAAATAAATAAGTAGAAACCAGAGGATCAAACGTCAGCCCCCGAGTTTTAACCAGAGTGCCACACTTCCTGCATTAAGTGAATTTCTCCCAGCAAAAGCTAAAGAGGAAGGGGCGGTGAGGGCCCTGCCACCAGCGTCCACTAGACAGACCTCCACCGTGGGCCGGTCAGCACCTGGGAATTGAGGAGAGACGCAAGACGGAGTGGCACTTTCTGGCCACGGCCTCGAGCCGCGTGCCTCAAACTCTCCTCTGAGCCCATCGGGGCGGGTGGTGGCCATGCTGACCGAAAGTGGCCGCACTGTTCGCCAGCAGCGTTTCTGCAGTCACGACTGAATGCGAACCCCAAGGGAAACGGTGACGTGATGGCGTGGAGGGAGGCTGGGGGTGGGGGTGTACAGGTGGAAAATCTCCTGTCAGCCAGTTGCAGTAGATGAACCTTATCTAAACCCTGACTCAAACCTGCTTATCTCAAAATGTGGGAGAGAGTCAGGGAAACGTGACCGCTAAATCAGAGTGTGATATCTGATGGAAATAAGTCAGTACTGCCCTTTTACTTGGACTTTTTTAAAAATTTTAAGACAGAGATTTGTCAGTTGGATTTTTATTTGCTTTAAAAAAAATTCTTCCTGGGGCCAGGCCTGCAAACCCCAGGGCCACATTAGATCCGAAGCACCAGGTGTCTGTCCCTGACCCGAGTGCCCCCCAGAACTGCTGACAAAACAGCGCTGCATCGCTGGGAGAACAGCCGAGCCCCCCAAAGCCCCTTCCTTGGAGCTGCCGTGGAGAGATGGCTGACAGGGGGGTGGGCAGGCGGGCAGTGAGCAGGGCTGTGTGTGTCCAGAGTTCATGCCCCACAGCAGGTCCTGGGTGACAGGCAGGAATGAAGCCCCAGGGCCACGCACCGATCATGTCTAGGCGTTCCTCGCACAGGTCTCTCTAGGTTGTACTTCAGCTTCGGAGAGAAAGTCCTTCTCTCCGTGGGCACCGTCTTTACAGTTTGCCAAGAGCTTTCACACGCGTCCCCCTTGGAGCTGATTCCTGCAACTCCTTTGCCTTCACAGCTGCCAAAGCTGCAGTTGGAGGCGGCTTGTGTGCCCGCTGTGAGGCACCTTTCTGGGGCCCAGGCACGCACTGCGGGGTCCCAGCACAGCTGCAGCAGCTCCAGATCCTGCTCCCCTCCTCGGCCGGGGGCTCCCCCAGGCCCAGGCTCCTGCCCCTTCACCACCCCGGGATGGGCAAAATTGGGCCTGGCACAGAGTAAGACCGTTATTGAATTCACGGGTACAGGGATGAATGGCGCTCGCAGCCTCTTTCCCTAAAAGGAAGCAAAGTGCTGAGAAAATCATAGACATTTTAGACTCAGGAGCGGCTGTGTTCCAGACCATTCTCCTGGGAGAAGTCCGACCAGCGCCCAGAACTTCCCCTCTAGGGTCTGTGTGAAGTGGGATAATAACCCCTCCCTCGGTTAGAGGGTTGAGGTAATAAAAGACGCGGCCCATGCTTGGCATGACACGTTGCGTAAAAGTCAAGTTCGCTCTTGTTCTTTGTCACTGTCTAAGACAGAAACCTTGCTTGTCCCGGAAGCGTCGACCTTCTCTCTCAACTGCTCCATCATTTCTTACTGGCCATTAGTCAGTGGCCAGTAAGATGTGGATGAGTCGCTCAAGTGAGCGTCTGTGCGGAAACAGAGATAAAGTTCCCAGGAAGAGAAATCTTTTCTTTTCTCTTCCTTGTTGGGGGGTCTCACCTGGGGATATTCTGGGGTTACCCCGGTCCTACACTCAGGAATCACTCCTGGCAGTTCAGGGGCCAGTTTGGATGCCGGGGATCGAACCTGGTTGGGCTCGTGCAAGGCCAGGCCCTAACCACTGAACCCTCTCTCCAGCTCCTGACCTGGAGAACCGTCTGGAATCCTGTAGCGGCCCCATCGCCTCCATCCGCTGCCATCCCCGCCACTTGCTGGTGGCGCCAGGGGCTGTGGGCAGAGGGGGCAGGGAGGTGTGGAGCAGTGGGGAGGGCCTGAGCGGGCCCCGCCCTCAGGAAGGGAGACCCCTGAGCTGTCCCGAGAAGACCCCACAGTCTGCTGCATGCCAGGGTTGTTTCCAGCCTGGATGAGGACCCCTGGACCACCCTGGCCTCCTCCCAGCTCACACCCACCTCCCTCCCAGCTGCCTCCCACCCCTCCTGGCCTCCTTCTGGCCCCCTCCTAGGCCCCTCCCATCCCCCCACTCCCACCCCCCAGCCTCTCCTGGCCCCTTTCCAGCTGCCTGCAAGTCACTGAGCCCAGAGGCCACATCCAGTCTACTGTGACTTCTGAGGGGGCTGCGGGAAGAGGAGGGGCCCTTGGGACACGCCCCCACTCCAGGGCTCTGGGGTTCAAGACCCTCGGGAGTGACCATTGGCGACCACTTCTACCTGCACCCCAGTTCCTGAGCTCAGCCAGGGAGGCAGCAGTGAGGGGCAGGGGAGGGCGGCCGGGCGCTGCCCGCGTTGGTGGCTGCGTGTGACCTGCCCCGGGCTGGGACCTGCAGGGCCTGGACCTCGAATGGGCCCTTGGTGCCTCCCTGCGCTGAGTGGGCCTGAAGGAGCCCCCGCCCACCACAGCTGTGCTGTCACCTGCTTCCTGAGGGTTGGCTCCCCAGGGACCCCTGCCATGCCCAGCCACAACAGGGGTGAGAAGGAACTGTCGGCGCTGGGGCTGTGGCTCAGGGGCCAGAGATGAGCGCCCCCCCCCCATGCCCAGAGTGCCCCCCCACACACCCAAAAAATCAAAACCAAAAGGTGAGGAAAGGGCATTTGTCAGGGTTTTCTAAGAACAGGGCGGGAAGCAGGGAGCTGGATGGA